TGCTGGGCTTTTCCAGCAACTTCTGTTTTTATACTTCTGTGAACTTTCTTTGGATGTTTATAGAAACGCAAATCAATTGCTTGGGAGAAAAAGTCAGTGTATGGATTAGTAGGGTGATGAGGAAATTGTTTTTTTTAAACAATCTGTGGCTACTGCAGTCCTTTCTATCACCAGCTGACATTTCCTCGTTTTAGGTGGCCTGGTTCTGGAGAGGGGTGCTGCTTGATACTTCTATTGTGTTAATACCCAGTTCCCTCCGCTATCTCCTTCCACCTGTACTTACTCAAAATCCGTCTCTGTCTTCAGCTCGGTCACAGGTCGGAAGACCAAGGCCTTCCTGTTCATTCCCAGGACACAGGCTGTCTCAGGAGAGTTGGCGAAGACTTGTCCTATCCAAGGAAAGGATTAGAGGGAGGATGGTGAGAATGGACATACTTTCCAGCGGCCTGAACGCCATATCCGACATGAACATCCAGCAATCCCAAGGCCCCTGCCCCCCCACCCTCCTCAGCCAAATCTTTCCCTTTATTGGGACCAGATCTTTCCACAGATCGGGAAGGCTGCACTTCCCAGATGTAGCGAGGAAATCAAACTAACTTCAAAAACCATCAGGGGCTCCTTGCAGCTTCCCTCATGCTACAAAAGGGGCTGCCCGGGATGATGGGCCTCGTCTCTCAGCCCACGCGTGTTTGGTTAGGGATATTCCACCTGGAACACCTTGCTCACTGGTGTCGAGCGAAGGGTTCTTTATCCCTCCTCCCCCCAACCCGACCTCGGGAGTCTCCTCAGTTGAGTTGTGATCGGTTTGGTTCCAGTTCTGCCCAGAGCAGCTCTCCCTGGCTTCGCCGACCAACTCACTGGAGGTTGCCTGACCCTGATCTAACTCTCTCTCTCAGCACCGCCCAAGGCCTGGAGCTCACCTTTCCTGTAGCATTCCAGGAGCTTCTCCGTCAGCCACTGCACGGCCTTGACGCCCAGCTTCGTCCCAAAGTTCCTGTCGAAGGGTGTTGGTGAACCGCCCTGACAACGGAGAAGAGGTGAAGTAAACGGAGAGGCGAACATTTCGATACAAGAGTGACAGATGGCCACGCGTCGCCAGGCCTAACGGTCTCTGCTTTAACTCTGTCCGCCACCAGCCCCACAAATGATGGGCGGGCAGGGATGAGAGTTAAAATCCGAGAATAACGTGTTCCCACTGTCAGCCTGTGGCGCTCCTGGTCATTGTAACATTTGGACCAGTCAGTCATTCAGATCCTGGAGCTGGTTCCAGCAACTGTAGGGCAGGGGCCTTGTTAACGCAAAGGAACCTCGCAACTGGATAGCGTCACTGACATAGCAAAGGGCTATTAATTGCCCGGTGCCCTGCAGCAGAATCTCGGTGACCACATCCTGCTGGGCAGATGCGATTGCTGGAAGTTGAGGAGCCTTTTCAGTCCGAACTCCCGTTGAAGCAGGAGCGCAGGCTCGAAACCAGCCCATCAGCTTCCTCAGCCCGGGGCTCCCGCTGAGTGTGTTGTTCACGCCCCCTCCCACAGCATCCTGGCAGGAGCTGCCCGTCACCACCTTCCTGCCTGTAAAGGGCAGGTCGTGCATCTGGCTCAGATCTGGGACAGAGTACTGTACTGCAGCAGACTCTGGGTGTTTAGTCAGTTGGTGGAGATCTTCCCCAACGCTGCTGATGTTTCTCTATTTATAGAGACATGCAGCACGGGAACAGGCCCTTCGGTCCAACTAAATCATGCCGACCATGTTCCCAAACTAAAACTAGTCCCATCTGCCTGCGTTTGGCCCGTATCCCTCCTTTCCTATTCACGAACTCATCCAAACGTTGTAACTGTACCTGCATCCATCACTTTCTCTGGCAGTTCATTCCACACACAAACCACTCCCTGCGTAAAGAAAAAAAGTCGCCCCTCGTGTCCTTTTTAAAATCTCTCTCCTCTCACCTTAAAAACCTGCCCCCTAGCTTTGAGCTCCCCTAGCCTAGCGAAAAGACTCTTGTCATTCACCTTAGCCAAGCCCCTCGTGATTTTATTTTAAAACCTCAGTAAGGCCATCCCTCAAACTCCTATGCTCCAGTCAAAACAAAAATCCCAGCCTTTTTTTTGTATCTCAAACCCTCCATTCCTGGCAAAATCCTGGAAAATCTTTTCTGAACCCTTTCCAAATTTAATAATATCCATGCTCATAGGATGGCGACCAAAAGTGCACACCGTACTCCTGAAGAGGCCTCACCAACGTCCTGTTTGACCTCCACATGACGTCCCAACTTCTACACTCAAAAGGTCTGAGCAATAAAGGCAAGCGTGCTAAACGTCTTCTTAACCACCCTGTTTATCCAGACCCAGACGTCAGTGAGTTATGTTGCTGAGCCATTTGTTGAAACTGTTTGCCTTGGAGGAGTCACTTACCTGCTGCATATGGCCCAGCACGTTGGTGCGACAATCAAACACACCCTTCCCCTCAGCAGAGTACAGGTTGTACAAGAACTCAGTGGTGTAATATTGGTGACACTTCTCGTTTCTGCAGGAAAAGGAATGGAACAAAAATTCACATAAATGTCTTTTTTCTAAAGAGAGCAAACATTGGCCTCCCAGTTCTACGTTCACCTTTCCTAAAGCAATACGGTGGACTCCTCTTGCCCTCCTCCTATATCCCCTCTAATTCTCCTCTTTTCCCACCCACAGGGCTAAGATAGGCAACTCACCAGGAGGTAATTCACAGGCCCAGTGTGTCAGAGCACTGACTGGCCAATCCCCAGGTCTAGCTCCCAGTTTAACCGTGTTGATGAATGGTATAGTCCATACCACAGAGAGCCCTGCTACCTCGTCAGCTCCAGTTACAATGCAGAGGTGTAGGCGTGTGTCAGAGAGAGGGGAACACAGTCAGTACATTCACAGAAACGAGAACAGGAGGCCATTCAGCCTCTCCAGCTTGTTCCACGGTTCAGATCGTGGTAATTCCATTTACCCGATCTGGCGCCATTAAACTCAGAACAGCTTGCCAGCATCAACCTGTGTCTTCAATATTTCCAAGTGCCCTTCGGCAGCTTCGGCCCCCAGCTTGGAGGCATTTGCACCTCTGCAGGGGAGGGAAGGGGGAGGGTGGGTTCAGTAAAAAGTGGAATCTCTTCAGGGCTAAGGGGACAGCACTTTGACAGTGGGCACAGATTGGTTGCAGAGAGAGAGAGAGAGAGAGAGAGAGAGAGTGATGGCCCTGCCTCCGAGGGAGGTGGTGAACGTTTTGAATCCCAAGCCACAATTCCACGTACTGGGGAGGATTCCTGAACGACTTGCTGGCAGAGGAGGTGCCAGTGTCTCCCCCGGGGAATAATCTTGCTTCCGTGCACCCTTTTGCCAGGTGACGTGTAAGGGACAATCTTGGCCACCCTTTACAATGCAGGATGTACCCGAGGGCACTTGTACGCAATGGCTGTGGGGGCATCATGTATTGCAAAGGAGCAGCAGAGACTCCTCAGCCTTGCTTGCAGTCCACCAGAGGGTAGGTAACATGGAAGATCAAAAGAACCCTAGCGAAAACCAACGGGGGGGGGGGAAAGAAAAAACACAAGCACAGTAAAAGCGATCTGGTGCAAGAGACTGGAGTTAGGCAATATGCAATGGCGAAGCATCAGGACAAGAGAGACCCTGGTTGGTGCCAAGCGAATGGATTTTTTTCTTTTAATAAGCGAGGGATGATGGGTGGCAGTGTTAGAAGTCAAAATATTGGTTCATTTTAGTCGGAACAGAGGGTGCAGAGGACCACGACTGGGGTGGGGATAGGATGAGCAGCCTGGAAGTTTCTTACCCCCTACAATTCAGTTAGTGTTAAAAATCAGCTCTGGGGGAAAGACTGGTAACTGCATCAAAGAAAGTAAACAGCTCACCGCACCCCGGGCATTTCTAACAGGGATCAGAACGCTTTCGCAAAGTCCGCTTTCCTTTCATCTAAGCTCTAACAAAACAGGAGGGGCACTTAACTAAACAGAAGGCACAAATCCGACACTCATCGAGAAAGAAAAAGCCACACTGAATTTCCCTCCAGCAAGTTATTCACGAGGTTTAACAGATACAAAGGATTCATTGCCCAGAAAGAAACTCGGCAGCGTCTTCTAGTGGTCAGCACGAGAATGCCACCACTGGAGTCCAGCCGGGTGCACGGCTGCTTTCAATGTGCAACTCGTGTTAGCTCAGAGGCTGGGAGCACAGCACTCTATTTGGAGTGACCAATGTACTTTTGCAAGTCTCACTAGCCCTGTTCAATGCTGGGGAACACAGGGTCTTGGGTAGCATTGAGAAGGATGAAAGTAGGCTACTTCTTCGCCCTGTCGGGAAAGATGGGCAGAGGCAAAACTTCCCTTTTCTAAAAATAAAGCCCAAATGTCCTGGTCCACAAAGCAAGACGGCTGACCTGCATCTGTCACAATGTCAGTTCATCTGTAAGCAGTCACTGAAGTTATAACATAAGGAGCACGGTACACAATTTGCATTCAGCCATCCTTCATAAACAACAGCGTGGTCACAGCTAGCTGCTCAGGGATGTGGGCCGAGGGTCGATGACACCAAGGAGAACTTCCTTGCTCTTCCTCAAAAGCATCCGCATAGGATCTTTTACGTCCACCCAAGAGGGATGGCAGGGACTCAGAAGATCAAAAAGAAAACAAGGAACTGGAGTAGGCTAGTCAGCCTATTAAGCCTGCACTATCAGACAATCATGGTTGATCGGATTGTGGCCTTCTCCACTTTCGAGCCCAACCTGCCCCTTCCCAGTTTCCCTTTCACAAAACCATGTTGACTTTGCCCAATTGTATTAACAGTTTCTAAATGTCCTGCTGCTCAAATCCATTACTGAGGAGCAAATATTCTCCTAATGAAAGATGTCAGACCAACTGATTTAGTTTCCTGCTTCCTGTAATCCTACTTTCTTGAATAGAGGTACTACATGTGTTAGCTTACACAGTCTGTCGGAGCTTTTCCAGAATCTAGGAAACTTTGGAAGATCACAGTCAATGCACTCACTATCTCTGCAGCCACTTCCAAGGTGGTCTTTAGTCCAATTCCATTTCCTAGCACTTTTTCTGCTGTGATGGATTGTTTACTTTTTCTCCCCTCAAGAATAATTAGGAAATTGAGAGGTGATTTCTGGGTCTTTGACAGAGACGTAAGGATCATAAATCTGTCATTCCCCCATTATTAATTTCCCCGTTTCACCCTCTTAAAAGGAATCAACACTTGCTTGAGTCCTGATGAAGGGTCCAGAACAGAAACGTCAACGTTCCTGCTCCTCAGATGCTGTCTGACCTGCTGTGCTCCTCCAGCTCCACATTTTATGAACACTAATTTTACCTACTTTCTTCCCTTTCACACTTCTATGGATGCTTTTATTGTCCGAGTTTTTATTTCTAACTTTATTCCGCTCATACTCAAATTTCACCCTCTTTATGATGTAATTATTTTTTGTTGGTTTCTAAAATTTTCCCAATCTTCTATAGCATGGCTATTTTAAGCAGCATCGTACAACCTCTCTTTCAATTTGATATGAACCATAACTTTCTTAGTTAGCTGGGTCACGATGCATCATTCGTATGGTATCTATCTCAACGAGGAATATCTCTGTCGAGAGTTCTAAAATATCTCCTTAAATGCCTGCAAATGCTTCACTACCATATTATTTATTTTCCCGTTCTGCATTAACCAGCTTCATACCCCTGTAATTGCCTCGATGGGTCTAAATCACTGGTATCAGACCCAAAGTTGTCACCCTTAAACTCAATGTGAAGTTCTATGATGTTACTATTTGAAGGATCCTTTACAACGGTGTCATGAATCAATCCTGTCTCATTACACATTACCAGGTCTAAAATATCGTACTCCCTAGTTGGATCTGGAGTGTATCCCAAGCACACATTATGAACTCGTCCTCCAGATTATTCTTGCCAAACTATAAGAAGATTAAAATGTCCTCTTACCCGAGAGACGACATCTTATAGTGCAACACTTGCTCACCCTGGATTTTGGAATGCAAGCCTCAGGAGTGGCATTTGAACTCTTGACTCTTGAATTCCAGAGGCAAGTGAGCCACCCACTGAGCCAATGGCTGTCACCCAAGGTGACCAGGCAGCAGAGAGGCACATGTGTGCACTGGCCTTACCACTGGACACCCCACGTTCCTCTGTGATTTTCCCAGGAAGACCCTACCTCAAGACAAGCCCTCTCTGGATGGTCGTCTTCATCTTCCCAGTTAGATGCTCCACATTGGCCTGCAGATATAAAGCAATGCGTCAGAAACAATATATTCTTCTCCCTGAAGGTGGCTTTAGCAGAGCAAGTTGGGAACGACTGCTTCAACTGAGGAAGGGCACAGATTTAATGTAATTGGCAGAAGGACCAGAGGCAGGACATGGAGAATTTTCTCTTTACAAAAATGTAGCAACTTGTTATGATCCAGAGCACACTGCTGGAAAACGAGGGGGAAGAAGAAAGACAGAGAGAGAGAGGTAGGGGTTGGTGAAGAGAGATGAGGCCAAGGGAGGTAGGGGAGAAAGAGATGAAGGGTAAGGGAAGGGAAAATAGGGACAGTGGTGGAGGCGAAAAAGGCACCCCCTCCCCAACCAAAATGCTGGACCAGACCCCTTTGCCCCCACCGCCAAACCCAAATTTTGCATCTCATGAACCCACCGTCAAGTCATGAATGTTAATGGGGTCTTCGTAGATGTAGGCAGCATCAGCCCCGACAGCTAACGCTGTTGCCGAGGCCAGGTAGCCACAGTAACCTCCCATGGTCTCCACGATGAAGACTCGGCGCTTGGTTCCCGATGCAGACTGCTTAATGCGGTCACAGGTCTGCCAAGGGACAAGTAAAATACGAGTAACCCGAGAGGTTCAAGTCGCCCAGCCCAGAGAATCTGCAGATTTCAGACTGACCCAGCTCTCTGCAGTGATCCAAACCTTCTCTAGCCAGCCCTGCTCCAAACCTAAAACTAGCTCCCCCTCCTGGTCACTCTAAACAACATTTAACCTAGAGATAGTAGGAACTGCAGATGCTGGAGAATCCGAGACAACAAAGGTGCAGGGCTGGATGAACACAGCAGGCCAAGCAGCATCATAGGAGCAGAGAGGCTGACGTTTCGGGCCTAGACCCTTCATCAGAAAAGGGGGAGGGGAAGGGGGTTTTGAAATAAATAGGGAGAGAGTGGGAGGCGGATAGAAGAGGGATAGAGGAGAGGATAAGTGGAGAGGAA